TGGGTTCTTCTCCTAGCGTACTGTGCCACCCTCCAGTCCCCTCCCAAAGAAGTGTAAAAAGTTTGTGAGGGACGCGGAGGTCGGCTGGAGAGGCTTTTGCTCGGTGCGGTGTTTAGAAGCCTGGGGTGAGCCCGGGCATTCGGGAGGTGCCTTCAGTCCTCGCTGCCGCCGCCGTCCCGGCTCGGGCTCCGGGACACTTCTGATGGCTTCAGCCCAGCTCGGGAATGGCTCTGTCTCATCTACTCGTACCGCAGGCATTTCTAAACTTCCTCTTCGTTACCTAAGAGGGGTGCCTTAACTTTGAATATTCTAAATGATAGTAGCTTTTTTTTCAAAAGCATGGGTTTGCCACACTTAGATTTTCCCCTTGAGTAAATAGTACGGCATTCTAATATGTGAACTTCATCACATGTGTTCTGTACTTACGTTGTTCTCATTTCCATGTCTGTCTCTGTCGTGAACGAGAACTGCTGAAAGTAAATCTGCTGATCTGCATACAAGAGATTCATGCACAGACAGGAGGTTTTGGGAGCTGGGAGATACCCAAACTTCTGAACCATAGAACCTCCTCTCAGTCTTCTAGCTTAGCTCTAAACATCTCTCTGGATCTCCTGAAATCTTGCAGCATGGCTTGGAGCATGGAAAAATAATCCAGAACAGATGGGAATTCTGACTTCAGTGTTGTGAAGTCCCATGAAGATCCCCATCTTTCAGCTGTGTTTTAAAACAATTGTTTCAGATGATACCTTTGGTTTTGGATGTTTTCTGTTAAAAACAATTCAGTTTCTCATCTGGAACACAAGGTTAAATGTATGTCAACTTAAAAATACACTATTGCTGTCATAATTCTGTTAGCAGGTCAAAAAAGTGATTCTTCCTTTATAAAATTTCATCTGGGATTGTCTTTGAAATGTTATGTAGAGGGATTGTCCTTGAATATTATGTTTGGATGTTTTTTGTTTGTTTGTTTTTAATTTAACTTTTCATTAGAAATACAAGTTCTTAAATGAAGGAAAACAAGTGTTTTAAAATTGATTTTTGTATGAAGTGAGCAATGACTTGATTTAGATTGTATGGATATGTAAACATAAGAGGGCTTTTTATAGCTCTTTTATACCCCAAGAGTACAATGTAGATATGATGGAAAAGGATAAGGTTTTTTTAGTAACATGAAGTTTGATTTTATTTATTTTATGCCTTTGCTTCAGATTTTAAATATTTAAAGTGAATTAAGCATGATCTTTGGCATGTTGCACAATGTTGCAAGAGAAGATGGTAAAGAATCTCCCAGCTGGAAACCCGTGAAGCTAATGTGTTTAATAAGTTATTTGGTAGAAAAGTGAGAAAGGAAACAAACCAGCTTCACTACTCAAACTAATGCATGGTGTCAAGTGTGAAAAGAAGCCTCTCATTCTCAGTATTGAAGCCTGTGCTCCCAGAAGCTGATCTAACATCTTCTGAAACCTTATTTTTTTCCGACAGACTACTTCAGAGAAAATACAAGCAGTGATGGGTGTCTGTTTTGCTGCATCTTTAGACTTTTACTGTCAGAACCAGTCAACAGATGCAGGATTTAATTGGTGGTGACATTAAACAAACTTTTGGCCCATTTCACCTGGCCATATGTTATGTATCACTTTGGGTATGTTTTCCATTCCCTGTCAACTCTGACAAATTCAAGGGGACAAACTGGATGCTCATTTACTTGCCTTGGATGGAGTTGTAGGTTTTATTGTTTTGGGGTTTTTAAACATTTTTTGAGAAGCAGAATTGGCAATTCTGCAAGCTCCTAGCTTCCTGCTAAGAACTGGGAGGGTTCAGGCTGTCCTAGGTCATGGAGCCCTAGGGAATGCAGAGTGTCACCTGAAAGACAGGGTTTATAGAGTTCCAGAGTAACCTCTATTAAACCAAGCGACCTCTCTGGAGGAGAAAAAAAAAAAAAGAAAATCAAATGAACGCAAAAGCTTTGAGCACAAAGCTCATCTACAAGTGTTTTTCAACAATAATGTGTATTTTTCAGTTAAATGCTAACATTAGGTAAACTTGGACCCATTCTTCAAGGGATTAGTTATGGGAGTTTAGAATCTTTTTTGAAATCTGAATTTAGTTTTTACCTCATCCATAACTGTAAAAAACGTATCACTTTATACATGAGCTCCTAAAAAGATACTTACTCATACATAGCCCAGATCTTCAGATGTCTTCCTCTGCAGACCTTTGTCTCTTAAATTCACCCAAAACTTTTTGAAGCTCGTCTTTGTGCATCGTGTTTGTCATCTTTTGATATCAAGTAATATTGTTTTAAAATGTGTCTTACACTGAACTTTCAGGACGTGCTCATCTTGCCTGTGCATTAGAATATAATTTCCCAACACACCAGGGCAGAACTTGCCCAGCCAAAGCTGTGTGAGTGGTGGCCATGGAGAAATGACCTGCACACTGGGCTGGACCTGCACACCTGGTGTCACACTGCTAAATTGTAATCAGCTGAGTCCCATCCAGGAGGGAATGTCCTTTTGTAAGCACTAAAAATATGAACTCTTGATATGTTTTTAAGAATGCAGGATGACTGTATAATAGACCTATTTATTATTTATATTTTGAGTTGAATTTTTAATCATGGGATAATTTGTGTTGGAACAGACATTTAAAGGTCATCTAGTATAATCCTCCTACAATAAGCAAGGACATCTTCAAGTCAATCAGGTTGTTCAGAGCCCTGTCCAACCTCACCTTCAACACTTCCAGGGATGAGCGTCTAGCATTTCTCTGCGCAACCTGTTCCAGTGTTTCACCTCACCTTGCCATAAAAAACTTCTTCATATTTGACCCTAAATTAACCAGTTTTAAACCCTTACCCCTTTGCTACAGGCTCTGCTAAGAAGTTTCTCCCCATTTTTCTAAAATCCCCTTTAAGTACTGAAAGGCTGCAACGAGGTCTCCCCAGAGCTTTCTCTTCTCCAGGCTGAACAGCCCCAACTCTCTCAGCCTGTTTGCATGGGAGAAATGCTCAGAAGAGTATTTTTAAGATGTGGTTTCTGTTCCACTAAATTTTCACTCTGTTCTTTTAAACACTATATACAATTTAGAGTATATTGATGGTTAGACCCAGTTAGTTTCCTTCTATAACCTGCAACCAGAATTGGGTAGGAGATTTTTTTTTTCCAAAATTGTAGGAAGAGGACTTAAAAAGTTCTTTCTCTTAGATATGCTACCTGGGACCCTTTCCAACATAAATTATCATGTACCTCCTAAAGGGAGAGGAAAAAATCAGAAAGCATCAGTGTTTCAGATTCTCAACGACCAAACAGTAGAAGGTCTGTGAAGCGTACATAATTTACTCACCAGAAAAAAACCTTAACACAGTTTGTATATGTTAGACTTTAAAATCACTGTAACATTTATCACAGTGAATTTGTGAAAGTAGAGAAATAGAAAGACAAAATACTTATTCTAAATTCTTATCATGACACCAAGATATAAAAGAAAAAAGCAAGCGACCTCTGAATCTTGAGTAAACTGAACTCACAATTTTCCAGTTGCTAAATACATGTTTTTCTACAAGACAATTTCCAGGAAACAGCAGTTAGGAGTAATATAGGAGATGCTCCATTTTAACAGGTGTGCAACTATTCTAGGAGTACATGGCACATGAAAGAGAAGCTTTCAGGGTTTTTTAGTCCAGCAAGCCATTTGTAGCATGCATTTTGCACTGAGGACTGGAAATTTATATATATATATATATATGTGTGTGTGTGTGTGTGTGTGTGTGTGTGTGTGTGTGTGTGTATATATATGTGTATATATATATATATGTATATGTATATGTATATGTATATGTATACACACACACACATATACACACATCTCCATTTTTATAGAAAATTCTGTGCAGGATCTGCCTGCAACCACAGAGAAGGTAGGCTATGTAGTTGTGAATCCACACTAAACACTATTGTTTCACAAAACACACAAGCAATGTATTCACTCCATGTGGGTAAAATTTAGGCCTGCGATAGGAGAGATGTGAGCATTTGGGTGTCTGGCTGCTTTGTAAATAATAAAGGAAGACATCTGTTCACTGGTAAATGTGGGAGGAGAGATATTGTTATCACAGATACCTTTGTGTGCACATGAGAGCTTGAGGGACTGCATTTGATATTTTTCTTTCTGGGTAAAGAAATACCTTCTCCTCCTAAATGTGTAATAATTTTAATTAAGGTCAAGCCAAGAATGAAACTTCCCTTGGTGTAGATTGACTTAATGTGAAGGAAGATAGAATTCTTGCTCTGGGAAGCTGATGCAAAAGATAAGTTTCAGCATGCATTTGCTCACATGAGGAACTTTGCTAGGAAGGTGCAGACAACCTTCTCCATGCTAAACTGTGAGCTAGGGGAAAATTGCTTAAAACATCCAAGGAAATAAAAACAAACTGATGTTTCTGTTAAAAATCAGAGTAAAAACTGAAAAGAAGGAGAGATATTTGCTACAGTTCAAAACAGGAGGAACTGTTAGTAAATAATGTACCTATTTTTTGGTTTTTGTGTGAAGAGAGTTTGGTTTTAACCATTTGTTTTTTCTGTATTTTCAGAAAGACATCCGTTGTCAGAGGAAAGGAGGGTAGCTGCCATTGATAGGGCTGTCCTTTGCTCTGAAGGAGGAGACCATGCTGAAGCATCTTCCTAAGATACCTTTCATTCTGAACATCAAAAAAGATCATTTAATATTATCCTAGGTTTAAGCAAGAAAGATGAATTTGAGGTGATTTTTCACTTGGTTCTGTTGCCCTGGAGTTACTGAAGAGCAGACCCCTGGAAAGACACAGTGCAGGAAAATAGCCCTGTGCTGCAATTCAGTATTTCACACCTGCATAACCATCTAAGAGATATCTCATCTGAGCAAAGATGACAAGGCTCCTGAGAGGATTTCATCTGTGATGGAATGACTTCTGGAAAACTGCTTCAGCAAAGGGCACCCAGCACCTCTGCCCTCACTGATCCATGACAGAGTCCGAAATGAACCACACTTGGATGTATAACCTGAGCTTTGGTGCACCTGCACATCCTCTTGAGCCAAGGGCTGGACTCTCACGAAGTGGGCACACAGTAGTGGCTGTTTTTCTTGGATTAATCTTGTTTTTTGGTTTTTTGAATAACTTGATTGTCCTCATCCTCTTCTGCAAGTTTAAAACCCTGCGTAACCCAGTCAACATGCTTCTCCTGAACATCAGTGTCAGTGACATGTTAGTGTGCATCTCGGGCACTACCCTCAGTTTTGCATCCAACATCCGTGGCAAATGGATTGGAGGGGACCATGCTTGTAGGTGGTATGGCTTTGTCAATTCCTGCTTTGGTAAGAGTTCAATGATGATTCTTTGCTATTCTTTTTAGCGCTGATGCACTAAGCAACATGATTAGGGAGCTAAACGCTCTTCTGTGGTGAACAGAAGGATAGTCTTGTTGCCTTGTTATGGTCAAGCACAAGTGACCTGCATAGTTTAAAACATTTTAAAAAAAGACTTTATGGACTTTATGAAAAAGTAGCTTAGATCTAATAAATATTTCCTAACATATCTCATTCTTCAAAATTATTTATTTCCCAAGAGCTAAAAATGGAATCTAAAAGAAGGCAAGCCACTGGAGAGAGTTTGATTAAGTGTATGAACAAATATAATATTTCCTTTTTTTCAGGAAAATCTGTGCCATTGCTGAACTGCAGGTCCCTCAGTGTGGTTTCTGTCATGAACAAAGTCTCCTGAAAGTACTACACTTACCATTTTTAATTATCTCTCAATCTATAATATGAATTACTCATGTCCCAGATAGTGAGTTCTTATCATCAGATGATTTCTGTTCTGCAAAGCAAAATAGTTGGCTTGCAGCTTCAGTAGAAAATTAAGTTGCAGGAATAGATTTTCCAGAAGTGATGGGAAAAGTATTCAGTGTTGTTCTCCTGTCCAGACAAAATGTTCTTGCGACCACCTTTTGCACTGCTAGATGTAAGTGTTTTAACTGGATTTTTTTAATTAAAAGAGGATAAAGGACAATGACCAGGCAGAGGGCAGCCTTCATCCCTCCAAGAATGAGGCCTGTGGCATCACCAAGCAATGACCCTTTCTTCATTTATTCCTACATTCATAAAAAGATCCACTAAAGCATGAACTGGCCTGTGAGTGCATATCTAGGTGTGATCCTTATCTAACCCAGACCAGGGGACTTGGCACAGCTCCCTCTTGCTCTACATCCTTGCTTTGCTGCCTCCAGGCCACAAGGACAGGACAAAGGCATTCCTGGCTCTTCTCCAACCCTGGATTGCAGCACGTCTTGTGTAGGCCCCTTGACCCAAGAAGTGCTCCCAACAGCTATTGATGTGAAATCAGGTGCTGAATTCAAACACGTGTTCTCAACCTGAATTTTAAACTCTTTGCTACTTCCAATGGTGTGTCTCTGGTACCTGTCCTTTCCTCATATGTGTGCTCCACTCACGACCATTGACTCATCCTGGCAGCTTCCTCTGGGAAACTGCTGCTTTGCCCAAAGTGAAGTCTAAGGAGTTAGGAATGCTTGTAACATAAGAGCACTTTGGCCATCCAAAAATAGACTTTATGGTCAAGAGTACTTTGTTTTGGTAGGTTGTTTTCAGTTTGGTCTGTGCTGAGCAGAATGACACGTCTCCTTCCAGGTTTCATTTCCATTTTTGTGTGTTTTATATATTCCAGTATTTCTGTAAGTAGTTTTCTCAGACAGAAAGAAGCCAGGACTGTTTCTTTTCTCCATACTTTGAGCTTTCTTCTTATTATTTACCAATGGGAGGGAGGAAAAATATTTGAAGAGAGGGCTAAAAAGAGGTAGGTGTTCAAGGGCTTAGAAAAAAAGATATGTTAAAGGTGCCCTTTTGAGCCTGCTGGCTTCTGTCTGAATACATGTGAGTTACCGTCACACTGACCGTGGAATTAAACCTGCAAATGGGTTAGTTTCTGCCAGGGTGTTCTGTTTGTGGAACAATTCTTCAAAGTCAGATCTACATGAATTGGATGCATGGCAGGAGTGCAGATTTCTGTGCTATTGTGATACCTGTTTTCATGCCATAGTTTCTGCTGTGATTCTTAAAATTGATTAGATCATCAAGGAACACACAAGCAAACAAAACAGCAAAACCCAGAATGACAAAAGTGACCTCAGCTCCTCTGAGTGATGTTGGTACTGTCAATGGGGTATCCTGGGAAGCTGATATTTAATAACTACCTAAATGCAGGTAGTTATTAAACTGTGCATAGTTCATGTGAAAGTCTTGCAGCACTCACATGTGTTCTTTCATTAGAGTGTATAAAGGGCATAATGAAAAAGTTTGCTTGCAGAGTTATAAATAAACAATGTTGATTAGGATATAGCATGAGTAAAAGCAAATACCGATAGAAGATTGCCTAATATTTATGTGTCCTTACAAACAAATTTTATCTTCTGATAAATATAATTATTCATTCTTTAGCTATTCCTAAAAAAATCTCATACATTTATTAGCTGAAAAATTAGCTTTCCGTCCTTGATGGAACCTCATGTCTGATTTTGACGCACCAAAGATAAGAGAAAGGGCACTAAGATTCAGAAAAGAGATGTGTAATAGGAAAGGTAATTAAGATGAACCAAAGTTCAGCATCAAGGTTGGTAAGAGGAAATGCTTCAACATTCTTATCTGTTTGGGGTTATTTTTGTAATGGGGTAGATGATCCTTCTAGGACAAATAACAGTATAGGAACATACTGTTAATGATGTTAAGTGTTAATGATGTTAAGTGTTTAGGGATATGGTTTTGGGGTAATGATGGTGGTGCTGGGTTGCTGGTTGGACTAGATAATCTTGAAGGTCTCTTACAAGCTTGATGGTTCTGTGATGCTCTAAGTTCAGTGGGTCCACTAGAATTGCACTTTCTTGTGCTAAATGAAGATAGTGAAGATACGCACAGGGTTTTTTTGGTTTTTTTTTTTTCTAGCTGCAGTATTTTTCTAAATCATGAAGAAACTTTAAGCAGGCAACTAATCTTCATGACTTGGTGATTATTTCATGATCTCAACAACACACCTAAGCCAAATTCAAACTGTTAAAATATTTATAAATGCACTTCATTCTTGCAAATCTTCTAGCAGGACTGTACTTTTAAGATCATTTCCCCTCCTCCCACTTGTTTTATGATAAGGTGAAAGCCTCCTTTGTGTTTTAAACCAAATGGAGAGTGAAGGTGTTATCCTTCAGGTCTGTGGCTTGGGTGAAACCTGAGAGAGTGAAAGTAGAAAGCTGGGATTTGTTTCAAATGTGAACACAAGGTGAGAGATCACTTTTTAAAAAATCACATGCCTGGGAGGTGATCTGGAGAACACTTCTGATTCCTCTCCCAGCAGTATTGACAGTGTCATGTAGGTTGATGTCACCTAGTGGGAAATTGAGTAAGCTGTTTACCAGGCAACCCATTTCCTATCCCTGGCACTGAAAAAACATGACCCAAGAATGACCACCAGGGGAGGAAAATGATGGACAAAGTGTAGTTTTTTAGTTTAATTACTTGCTGCTATCCCTATATCTGCTTTGTGGTTTCAAACCATATGTGGAAAGCACAAGGTTTGGAAGCTAATGAGAAACGCAGATGCTGATCTATAAGCATGTCATGGGGGTTTTAAGGAGAAAATTAAATACTGTGAGATCTGCTTTGGAAGTATAAGCTGTTGGGTCTTGATTTGGGGAAGCACCAGGAATGGAGCTAGAGGAGAAACAGCATGGTCTGTTCCCAGAGTAAATGATTTTGTCCTGGTGCTTGCCCTTGACTGCAGCTCTGTTAAGTAGGTCACTGCAGTGGAAATTGCACGTGTCACTGAGTTGGGGAAATGGATGGATTTTTAAAATTTGCTGCCATTACACACCCCTTCATCATGGTTCGACAGGCTCATGGTTATACATTTAAGCAAACATGGAAAGTGACACAGGGACAGGATCTATTTTCACAGCTGAACTCTCAGTAAACTTTGTGGGCAAGGTGAAAAAAAGGATAGTTAAATATATCATGAAATTAGTAAGCATTAGATTTTAATTTAGGAAAAATGTATATTTTTAAGGCACTCCCATAGAAACCACATACACAGGAAGTGACATGCCATCCTAAGATTAGGTTTGTCTGGCAGTTTTGACCATCTCACATGTAGCCTCTGCACAGTGCCTTATTAAACATTTCAAGTCTCTGGACAGATGCAAACTTTCAAAAAAAAAATTTTCTTTTCTCAAGATACTTGGACTAATGTAAACTTCCCAAACATGTAGGACAGGCAGAATTTGACAATTTGAACTCCTGGAGTTCATTTTTAGAACCACTACTCTGTGCCATGTCATATTAGGATTAAATATTAAGTAGATTGATACACATGAGAAAGACAAAGCTGTCTCTGGCTACAGAAATCCAACACTAGATTCTACTGCTGGAAAAGTTCCAAGGCACATTACTAGCAGGGAAATTTTTGTGCTGTTGAACTCAGGTCTTGTTTTCAGCTGGTTGTTTTTCTCTTTCTTAACCTTCATGGTGCTTAAAATACCTGGCAGCTTGGCCAAGAAGTTGTTTCCAATATTTCATTGTAAAAAATGAATTCTGATTAGTGTTGTGTAAAAGAATATCACCATTCTAGAGGAGCCAGAGATGCCTATGTCATACAAAAGCTGTGTGACTTGGTGTCTGTGTCTTCCCACACAGCATCCTGTCAGGCCTGGGTGCAGCAGAGGGCTGCAGTCCTGTTTGAACTGAAGTAAGGCATGTAGATGTGTCCTAATGTCCATTGATAACTCAAGGTCATACCTAAATGAGGAGTTGAGCCTTTTTAGAAACCCTGTACTCAACCCAGTGGGTAGATAATCTTTTCAGTCATATTAAAGCTGTTATCGATTTATTCCCTTGTAAACTGTCAGAGAGCACAATGAATGAGAAATGGAGCTGCTCATGATTTTGCTTTAAAGTTCAGCTGCCTCGTGATCATAAACAAATAATTTTTCTTCTTAGTATTTTACCTTGGTTTTATATGCTGTGTCTTAGACTCACTGCATTAAACTAAGGTACTTACCTTTAGAGCATAAACTTCTGACATACTGGAAACTCTCTGTTCATGGGATGCAGCTGAGATCTCAGATGTAATAAACAACTCTTCTGTGAAAAGATATGGTTTTTTCCACATAAAAGACACCATCTCACTTGGCTTGATCCTGCAAGAGCTCATCTGATGGTTTCTGAGCTTTGATGCAGCAAGTATTCATCTCCCAGTGCAAAACCATTCTTAGCAGCTCCTTACCTGCCCACTCATCATTGATTGCTCCTTTCCCGGT